ATGAATGATTGTTATCAGGACTGATTGTGAGGGTTGGAAATGTAAAGGTAGATGTTTTATAGCAAGGAGGGGAGTGATTAACTTTCCAGTCTAGGAGTGGAAGTCCCTAGGACCATCAACAGAGAAGAGCAGAGAGCAGGACCCTATGTAGTGATGCCTGAGATGGAGGCAGAGATGATGACGTGGAGTGATGGAGCAGCTGGGGACTTTTAGATCCAGAGAGGGAGAGCGACTGTGTGCTAAACACTGGGGTGGGGGGGTGGGGGGGGGCAGGCTTGCAGGGTATACCCTTTGGTTGCTTGATGATGCCTGGAGGGGATTGTAACCATGGCAATGAGATGATATATGATAGAATGAATGTAAAACTAATGTTCTCCCATGTAAACTATCACAAAATTCACAATAAAACATTTTTAAAAGAGACCAGACTTAACTAGTTGGATAGAGACTGGTTGCTGTTAGGTGCCATCGAGTCGGTACCGACTCAGTGACCCTATGCACAACAGAATGAAACACTGCCCGGTCCTGAGCCAACCTCAAAATTGTTGCCACGCTTAAGCCCATTGAAACTGCCACTTTGCCAATCCATCTTGCTGGGGGTCTTCCTCTTTTTCTCGGACCCTCCAACTTACCAAACACGATATCCTTCTCCAGAGCCTGGTCCCTCCCAACAGTATGTCCAAAGTATGAAAGGCTGGTAGAACCTACAGAACTATGACCCTTAGTCATGCTTTGGGTCTGGAAATGAGCATACCTCCCCATGTCTCAATTTTCAGCCAAACAGTAGAATGGTCTATAAGGTAAACAATAACATTAAGGAGGTATGCACTCCTTAGGCTAACCAACCATTTGAGAGCAAAAGGACAGCATTTGCCCAAGAGCAATGCTCAGAAGGCAAAAGGGAGAAGAAAAAAGGAATGAAATTAGAAAACACAGGAAGTATGATGAGTGATAGTACATTCTGGAGATTACAGTCAATGACATGAAACAAATTGTATTAATTGTTAAATATAACTGATTTGCTCTGTAAACCTTCACCCAATTCACAATAAAAAGTTAAAAGTGAGGTATGATACATTGTTGTTTGTTGTTGTTGTTAGGTGCCATTGAGTCAGCACCAGCTCATACTGACCTTATGCACAGCAGAACGAAACAATGTCCGGTCCTGGGCCAACCTCACTACTGTTGCCACACTTGAGTCCAGTGATGCTGCCACCTGGCCAATCCATCTTGTTGGGGGGTCTTCCTCCTTTTCTCTGACCCTCCATCTTACCAAACATGATATCCTTCTCCAATGACTGTGCCTCCTGACAATATGTCTGAAGTATGAGAGACGAAGTTTGGCCATCTTGACCTCT